CGTCCCGCACCTCCCTGCAGAAGGGCTGCTGTGTCCCCAAGCAGCTCCTGTGCGGAGTGGCTGAGGGTCCCTGCCGGGGCCGGGAGCAGGGAAAGCGCTCATTCCCATCGCATCCCCGGGAACGTGCGGATCTGAATCCCAATATTCTCCCCTCCCGTTGCTCCGGCAATAGGCACGTGCTCCGCGCTGCTGCGGGAGCTCCCTTCCATTTCCGTCCTCTGCAGGTGGCCGCCTGGCGTCCCCGCTCCGCGTAGCCGAGCGAGCTGGAGCGCCGAGAAAGGGAGACGCGAGAACTGGCTTGTGAAATAGTCCCTTGTGCTGTCCTAATATATCACGGTGGATGCCAGAGCGCCTGGAATCTCAAGCGTGTGACCTGTTGCTGCGGACTGGAATTACCCGGGCGCTTCGCCGCCCGTGTTTGCAGTCTCCGCGCGCGGCGCGGTGGCAGCTTGAGCCCATATGGTTTGGGATTTCCGTGGTTCCAGCTGGGCATTCCGAGGCCTGCTTGAGCACGCAGCAAGTCAGCTCCCGGAGCTGGGGTTTCAGAGCGAGTGGGTAGTTTTCCCTGTTAGATTCCCTCGTTTGGCTCCGCGCTCTGGGGTGGCCCACGCAGCGGTTGCCTGAACGGTGGTGTCTGCTCGGGGGAAGGTAGGAGCGTGTGATGCTGTTGAGGCTGGCGTTGGTTCACGTACAACACTTCGCCTCTCCCGTTCGGCCAGCTCGCTGCAGGTTCCTAGAGAGAGCAACTTGTTTGACCAAAATCGGCTCTGCGTTTTTTATTCTTCTTCTTTATGCAGGTTGAATTCCCTTTAACAAGGGCTGAGACAGAGCTCGTACATATTTGCCTTTCCTTTAGCAGAAGGGATGGTGTCGCTGGCAGGCGGTTTCTCCTTCCTTAGGCTAAGGCAAGCTGTGCTGGCCCTGCTGCTGCTGCATGGAATTGTATTATTCCGTCAAACAGCTCGGTGCGTTGGTGTGTTTCCCCTTCAGGAATGTCTCTATCTGCTTTGGCAGCCC